GTATCTTTCTACCTTTATCTAGCTTACTTTCCACACATCTCTACATCTATATTTATATATCAATCGATCAATCTATCCACAGCAAAACTTAGTCTTCCATCCCAAATCCTCTACAGAGTAACTTGCAGTGCGGCACTGCCATTAAAAAGCAATTCACCTGTCGGATTCTGTGTGCTGTCATGTTGTGAGCTGTTAAATCCTTCCATTAAAGCGGCAGCTCACAATAATAGTGACAGAGGCTTTAGATGTGGCGTCTGTCAAGTCTTTGACTGCAAGCAGCTGCCATTCAGCTTCATTTATATGGAAATAGCGGCTGGCAACAGCAGCCGGAACTGCTGTTTGAATATTTTTGGCAACTCAGTTGCTCAGTTGCTCAGTTGCTCACCGTGGGGCGAGCATTGCGAAAAGAGCAACAATTGACTTCAATTACAATTTAAAATTAGAATATCGTTCACACCCAGCCAACAACTTAAAGATGCAAATTTATTTGTAAGCAAAGTGTCTGTCCATTCGCTTTGTATTTGCATTTATTTGGCCTTGCAACAAAATTGCTGCCACGTGGACAGCCTCAGTGGGGCAAGCGAAAAAGTTCGGCACGTGTAGCCACACTTACCTAAACAATATTCTTCTATAGTATATATATATAAAGATATGAGCTTATACTGAGTCTGAGTTGAACGCACTTTAACTCCTGCTGTCTCAATGGATTTTGCTTGGAACTTTTGATTGCTTGTTTTAGCCGCAACGCATGTCCATCAGCTGTTACCTGATATGCGCTGAGTGCGAATGCGAGTGTGAGTAACTGGAGCAACGGCAACGGCAACTGCTTGACACAACTAGGTCGCTGCCGTTGCTCCACTCGCTTGTTTATAAAACTGGCTCAAGGAGACAAGCAACAACAGCTGCAGCAAAAAAATGTCGTACTAAAAAATGGTGGCAACAATTTTGTTAACACACACACGCTGCGGTGCTTGGCATGGCAGGCATTTCACACACGGCTCGTGGCAGTGACAAACATTTAGCGTGAAACTATTTTTTAATGAGCCCCGGCAAAAGCGAAGGCAAGTCGTAAGCAGAAACTCAGCCCAGTTCATTTGGGCTTTCAACTTTTCCAACATTTCTTTCTTCGTTTCTCTTCAGTCTTCTCTTGCGATTGATTTTTCCCCCTGTGGCCGGACACCTTGGGCGCATTGGCAATAGTGGGCGTAGCCAATTGGATGAATTGTTTTGGGCCCATTGTTGCGACTTAACAATTGTTGAGCCGGAACACACACGCCCACAGCCAAAAACTGGGCCAACTCATCCAAAATGGCAACAAGCACGCAATTTGCTGCCTGCGCCTTTGTTGTTGCTGGCGCTCTTTGTGCTTAAAGCAGCTCAACAAAGTTGTTTACATTTTTTATGATGTTTTTGTGCCACATTGCGTGCCTCAATTTGACGAAATACTATTGAGATGTAATTAAGTTTTCAATTTATATTGAGCTTTAAGTTTTTATGGGTCAAAGGCAGCTTAAAGCGGGCAACCACACATAAGTCCAAGTAAAATACATGGCTAAAAGATTCAAGCATACAACATAGCCGAATCACAGACAATTTTCTAAGAATTGTTGTTTGCTGAGTTCCCAGTATTTTCTAGCCGAGAACTCCCCATAACTGGTTTAAAGCCTTTAAGCATGCTCTGCCATGCAAATCAGTAAGAAAAGAAAGTCTTATCAGTAAGTCAAGCAGCAGCTGCTTGTTTGCTTGCACGTACAATCAATCAATTATCAAACACGTGCGCCAAGCAGATGGCTAGACTTGAGTTGAGTTTTGTATACAAATACTTAACAACAGGTCAAATACAAATGCACATGAAAAGCCACAGAAATGCCTGCAAATACTTATAGCAAGACAAATTTCTATGTCTGCAAATTCCGAATAATTTGAGCACAAAACGTTGCCGCTAAAGAATGCTTGTTATTTGACTCTTTGGCAGTCGCAATGTAGCTGGGTCTTAGTTGTTCCTGCATTGCCACAGTATTAAGCGCTGTCAACAGTTTGTTTAATTTGACTAATGAATATTCAGTGTGCACCACATCAAAGGCGAAACGCTTTAATCATTTTAATGAACCATTTCGCCCATACCACGACCATATCATTTCCATAAACGTCAAGCAATTTAATTACTTAAACGCTTAAAAGATCAACGAGTTTTTTGCCATAAAACATACTTTCAGCACCTATTCAATTCCCGTGCTGGCCATAGTTCAGGCATTTATCATCGTTCTTGACAAACGACAGCAATTGATAGTTGAGCTGATAAATTGACTGTCTTTCGAGCTTAACTCCAGCACATTCGGTTGAATGCCTTGCCAAGGTCACATTTCTTTCCTGGAACTCGTTTGCCAACTTTCGGCCACCCACATAGAAAATAAGCAAAAATAGTTTCTTATAATTTTCACCAGTGAAATTATAATTTTAATTACATTCGAAGCGTATCTTTGATGTTTATGTCAGGGCAGCGCTGGCAGCTAACAAAAATAATAAACTCGAACTATTCTCGATTCACGCAGACCAAATCACAGTGCCAGCTGCTGCTATTTATGTATTCTGGCTAACTTGCTCCCAGCTGACTGCTGCAATGTTTTCTACTAAAATTAATAATGAATTAATGAGAAGATATCACAAAAAACATACCAGAATGATCAATTAAAACTTGGTCTTCAGACTATCTGAACTATAAAACTCTCACTTGTTTCGTCTACTAATTAGCCCTCAATTTCATCGGTAGTTGTGTTGGCCAATTTGCATTTTAACACTTGCTGCTGTGGCTGCGGCTACTGCTGCTGTCCGCCTCGTGGCAATTATGTTAATTTCTCTTTCGACCATCTGGCGCACATTTTACGAATTGCCAAGCAGCCAAAAATTCAAAGCCAAGGACTCGCTACTGGCCAGCACTGTTGTTGGCCTTCGTATAAGTAATTCGCCAAAATTGGCTACAATTGTGTTTAGCTGCCGGCCATCAAGCGAAAATTAACGCACACACACTCTGCTAAATTTAAAATTGAAATCTGCAATCTGCTCGAATTTGGAGTTTTGATGGTTTTTATAACGAAATTACAGAGCCAAGTGCAAACATAGAATTCTGATTGTGTTATGCGATACATGAGTTGAAAAGATATAGGATGTGGATCTTTGAAGACTTTAAAAATAATTTACTCACTTAGCAAATTTAAATCACATTTGGATTCATTTAGAATTCCAAAGGCTAACATCTCATTTGGCCTTTGATGAAAAATTATATAGAAAATTGAATTCTCAGGAATAGCATATGTGAGGCCATCTTTTATCTGTTAAGTGCCCCAATGAGGAATTATAATTTAAGTTCAACTAATATATATATATACATATATCGGTATGTAACTGCAGACAAATTAAGTTTAGGCATTTTCAAGTAATATCCAGAGGACAAAGCAAGTTGTTGTAGTCAAATAGTTTGGCATGCGTCAGATGACCCAAATACTTGCAGTTCTTTGAACATAGCCACGAGCAGACCACAGAAGTGTGTGTGCTTGGGTGTATGTATGTGTGTGTGTGCGTGTGTTATTGCAATGCTTGTGATTCCTGTGAACGCTGACAGCATTCTCTGCATGCTTTGAAGCATTTTGATTAGTTTTTCGTTTATTTGCTGGCAGTGTGCCTTGACTCTATATTACTACGTCAACATTTTTATTGTTGTGAAAGTTTATTGACACCCAGTCATGCAGAGAGAGAGAGAGAGAGAGCGAGTAAATGTGGCTGGGAATAATTTAAAAATTTACTTGCATTTGCCACATGACAAAATGTCAATGGCCACAGCATGAAATATGGAGAACTGCAAATCATTGTGCCATTCCTGCATTTTCATTGGCATTTAAGATACAAGTTGCACACATAAACAACAGACAAATAGAGAGAAAGAGAGAGTAGTGGAAAAGAGCAAGTGAGATAAATTGAATGAGAAATGAGGGAAAACAAGTGCAAGAAGAAAAAATTTCCACGAATTTTACAAAATCTCTTAAAACAGTTTGAAACATGCCAGAGAAAATTTTAAGTCAAAAATAAAATGTAGCCAAAATGGTAAGCCAATAATGATGGCTAAAACTGTCGGTCCGTTAAGCTGAGTTAAAACAGCAATTACGCCCAACAAATTTATGTAAGACATCTGCTAAATCTTGCGTTATGTAAACGTTTTGGCCTTTTGGGGCAATTTGGTTTGGGCCAGCCGAGTGCTGCGTGCCTTTTTGCCTTGATTGGAAGACATCCGCTAATGTGAAATATTTGGAAGTCAAACCATATATCAAATCTAATAGCAACAATCACGAATGAAATGATGAACATTATGTCATTAGCAGCTACGAATTGGGTCATCAGTTCATTATTATAACTGTTGGCTTTGGTTGGGCTGGGTCTACGAGAGATTTTGTTGTCTCTTTGCACGCAATTGAAAAACGGAATATCTCACCTTGACTATTAAGCCAATTAATCAAGGCGCTTTCACAACTTATGCTCATTTACGCTGATGGCTTTGCTTACTTCCATATGCTGACTTCCATTTAAATATATGACTTTCAATTAATTATTCAATAAAGGCCATTTAGTTGGAGAATTACAGGAAATCATATTTTATTTGAATAATTCGTCATTATAGAAAATATAGCTTAAGTCGATTAACCAATTATTTAGGAAAACTCAAAGGCATTTCGACTGGCTCATCCTTTGGCCAAGCTTAACTATAAATAATATTTTGTGTGTATTACATACGCTTAGTTACTAAAAAACTATGTCAAGTATCACTTAGATAAACACTATGCATCAGCAATTGTTAGAGGACGCCACAGACACACTTTGGCGGAGTGCTGCACACGCGAGGGGCTCGTTTCGTGCATGCAACGCTGGCCAAAATGGAGCAATGGGCGCCTAACAAATTGTGATTGGTCTTAACAGCTAGCTAATAATTAAATACAAGTGTAAAGAGAGTGGTTGTTGTTGCTGTTGCTGTTGTGGTGGATTTATAGCCACAATGCATCGATGGCTTCGTCCATGTCATCGACAGGCGATCGAGATAAACGCTGGGGCGTAGTCTTTAGGGCCTGCTGTTCACTGACAACTACCGCCTTGGCCTCCATATCGTTGCCGCTGAGCAGCACCATGAGAAGCACGCTGTTGCGTCTGGTGCGTGACTCCAGCTCTTGCTGCTGCTCTGGTAGCTGCTGCAGCTGCTGTTCTTGTGACTGATTGTTGCGCAACTTGCGCAGCCAGTCAGTGGCAGGCCAAATGCATTTACCACCCACGCTGCCACGCCGTCGACAGGCATCCCTTGTAGCTCGTCTGCTGTTGGTGCAGTAGGGACTGCTGTGTGGTTTATTGTTTCTGACAGTGTCGTTCGGCTGCAGCATTTCAACCACGCAAATTTCATCAGTAGCACCAATTTCGTTGGCGCATCCATCAACATCAGGCGCTGTTTCAGTCATTGACGGTGCCGCGGTTGCCGTTGTTGTTGTAAACGCTGCTGACACTGCCCTGCTGCACTCCTGCTACACGTTCGTCACTTGCGTCGTCAGGCCCAGATCAATGGCCATGCTCTTGCTAACAGCATCTGTTTGCACCAGACGCTGCCTGCCATAGCCATCCAATCGACCGCCGGCGCCATCGCGCCCATCGCCATCATGCTGCGAAAGCGGCAGCCATTTGTCGAGCCAACGCGGCCGGAATAACAGCGTAAATGTGCTGCGAAACTGTCGGCTCATCGAGCAGTAGAGTATGAAATTAATGCTCGAATTAATAAGTGCCAAGATATCCATTAGGTCACCTAAAATGAGACATTCGAACGGGAAAGCAATAAGCGTCAGTGCAACTAACGGGTGTTGGCACAGCCCGTAACCAAAGAAAACTTAAAGCTAATCTACATGCAACATAAGCTGCTATCTCATGAACATGGCTAATATAAGCAAGTGAGTGATAATAATGTGTCAGTTGCAATGTATCGAAACAAGATGAATATATCGATAACGATGTAGCTAAGTGTGCCTTTTACGAAGTCGATATATGTTGTTCTATATCGATAAGTGTTAAGAATTCCTTATCCTCCTCCGGTCACACCCTTTTCTAAACTAAGCTCTAAATGAACTACGTTAAATATATAGGCTCTTTCAACATGAGAATAAATCTTCATACTCACTCAGCTTCAGGTAGCACTGCATGAGAAACGCATCGCCTAGCAGCGCGTTCAGCAAACCCATAATACCCTGTGGAAATTCTGTGATGAGAAAGAGCAGTAACACGGCCAACAACATGCGTGTGGTGCGATCCGTTTGCTTTTCTTTCTCCAACAGCTTGCAACTTTTAGGTTGTGTGGGCGTTACAACCTTGCCATTGACAATGGGCTGCATATCGTTGGCCGCATGGCAGGCGAGTATCTTGCGCCGCTTTTTCGCGTCCAGCAGAGCGCCAATCAGGCGCACAGAAAGCACAGTCAGTGCAAAGCAAGGTATCAGCTTGATCACCACGCTGTAAATGAGAAATGTGGCATTGCGCAGGGGGCGATCGTGAAGTGCCAGCTCGCTGTGGTACAATTTATAGACCGTCACGTTGCGCTCTCCAGTGTCGGGTAGAACTGTGGTTGTTACAGTGGCCAAATCTGTGGAGAAGCTTGGCATATTGACCACTGTGGTGTTGCTGCCGCCCGTGGCCAGCGACCAGGCCATGTCCGGTGTGGTGCTAGACATCACTTGCATCGTGATGTGCTCCTCGTTGTTATAATCCAAGATGTATTGACTCAAAGGCACGGATTTAATTGTCTTGCCATTGGCATCAAGTGTCTCCAGAAACTTGGCTATTGCGGTGACCAAATATAGCCACGGCGACACCACCAGCACGCACACCACATAGGCTGTAGCTATGGTTATTGTGGTGGTGCGCATGCCGCACCAAATACGATTCCGTTGCGGATAGCTAACGGCAATATAACGCCAGACGGCCAGCGTAACTGTCAGCCAAATGGAGATGGTGTGCAACACTTGCGCGAAGATCGAGTGAAACTTGATGAAGCAGGCCCAACTATAGCTGAGCTGTTGCTCACGCGGCAAACTCGCACTGAGTATATAATCGTGCACAGTGTAGGGCATATACTCCAGCATGACAGCCAGGTCGGCCACAGCCAGGCCCGTGAGTATCGCATTGGTGGGAGAACGCATCTCGCGACGTGTTAGCACAATAATGTTCAATGTGTTGGCCAAAGTGCCCAAAATGCAGACGATGAGCGAAAAGTAGCCATGGATATATTTATAGCTGTTCAGGGGAGAGAAAATAACTGTTTAGCAAATAATCGAATATAAATAGTAAGAACATTAAGCTTCCTGTCAATCGAGTGCATCGAGTCATGCTGATTTTGCCTAATAATCAAGAGGATATTAAGCATACGCAACGTATTATCAGCTTCAAAAATACATTTCATGGTAATTAGGCAGGTGATCTTTTTATGCACACGCCAGTTCACACGTAGGCAAGAAAATTATTATGTAAATTACATTTAAGCCGAGAGACAAAAAAAAAAGTAATTAATATGCTGACGCGGCAGGCCATGGCATGCATGCCGCATGTCGCATTCCGCATTCCGCTCAGTCCAATCAACTTACTTCGTGTGAAAATCATCGATGCTGGCGCCGCAATAATGCGGCTCCGACATGTTCGTGACCATGTTGTCAATTTCGGTCGTCAGATGGTGGTGGTGGTAGTGCTATTGGTTGATTGCGTCCGTGGTGTGACTGGGCAGGAGTCGCTATAACAACTCCTACTTGGGCCAAGTGTCTGCGGCTGTGGCTTTTGAGGCTCTGGCTGCTGCTTCAGTTGCGTTTCAGCTGTGCGCTGTCAACATCAAGCCGCGGCCCAAGCTCTGTCTCCTCATTAATATTACTTTTGCGGCAGCTCTTCGATATTCCAATATTCAACTTGTTTCCTTTATCCTGTTGCCGTAGCTGAAATTAAATTAACCAAATATTTATACAGCGTTCGAACAGGGCGCTTAGCACTAAATTATGGCCAGCGTGCTAGAGACAAATTATAACGTGCTGCCATCAGTTCGTGTAGCCAGCAAAAACCTCGCCTGGCAACATGCAAATACTAAGTTAAATATAACGTGTCAGGTTGAAGGTGAAGTTCAAGTTGAAGCTGAAGTTGAAGGCAAGCTAATTGGCCACATTTCTGACTAAAAGACCTTTAAATAAAATTATTCAGCTGTGAGTGTTATTTTAAGAAACTTAAACAATACATCCAAACAGCAGCCCCAAATAACTAGAGCAAAGCATTTAAATGGCCCTGAAAGCAGCTCAACTTGCAGCCAACTTTGACAAAAGTTTTCATAACACGCCATAAATGTTCTTGTCCAGCAGAAGTAATTGGCCAAAGAGAAAACTATTACTAATATCTGGGCAAACAGTTTTCAGACAGTCAGATGCTGCATGTGCTATCAATATTACGCATACGCCAGCCGGTGCACACAGAGTTGTTGGCCCAGTTAAAAGAGTGCTGTTACAAGTCATTTGTCTTCACATTAGAAAAGTTCGGACAGCAAAGTTTTTGCAGTTGCCTGCGGGCACACGCACACAGACACATTACGTATACGCAATGAAAGGAAATGTCATTGCAGTGCTTGCAGTAGGGTTGCATGCCTCACTTGGCTTTTGCACTTCGTTAGCCACATTTGGCTTTGGTTGAACTTTGCAGCTGCAGCTGTAACTACAAATGTGGCTCCCATGTGACCCAAGTCGCCTGCAATATTTAATTAAAACTTTTATGTCCAGCACTTTGGCCAAGCCTTACGCCTTTCGCAAATAAATGGCAAAATTCCTTTGTTTTGTTTATCTATGAAGCAAACGTTGGAATATTTTTGGTCACCCGAAAATCTATTGTCTGCTGAGCGTGAAGCAGCTTTACAAATTTGCTTTCTATTTGCTGCAGCCAACATTTTCATGCAACTGACCCGCATCTAAGTTGACCCAGTTCTAGCAACAAATTGACACATAATCTACTGGCCCTATTGGCCACCACATCTGCAGCTAATGATCTGCGTATCGGTGAAAATTATGCAACATAATTAAACCATAACAGTCGACGACGTGCCACATTTGCGGGCAATTGTAGGCCAATGGGCCTCAGCTGTCTGCTGCCGGCTGGCAGGTTAATTAAAATTGGCCTACGTCTTCAAGAGGGCCATTATTGAGCCGTGGACAGTGCTAATGGCCTAAACGGCTTCATTAGATCATTTCAATAGAGTTTGCCTTAGCATTAAATGCCGACGGTTCGCCATGTTTCATTTCACGCCACGAAGTTCTTTTGGGCATCAACAAGTTGTTCGATGGTTGGGTATTACGTGACTTGCCTCAATTTCAACGCTCTGCGCTGGGCAGACGCCCACTGAAGATGCTAATGTTCCCAGCTGCCAAATTCAGTGCTCTTAGACGTTAATGTGCGGCATACGGTACGTATACGTTTTTATTTGAAAGCACCAGACCGAGGCCTGCCTAACCGTATGACTGACTGACTGACTGTTGGAGGCTAAGGCTAAGGCCATCTGATAGCCTAGGGTGTGGTTGCCTAGTAATTTAAGCTATTTGTTTATTACTGTTTCGCACAGTTCCATGAAGACCTACACTGAATTCAATTAAGTGTAGCCCAGGCACATGCTGTGCTTTAAATAAGATGAGAGTGTGAGAGTGGGAGCGAGGGAGAGATGGGGCATCGCTTTAGCCTATTCTGTATAGTGGTTTTATATTAAAAGCTCAAGTCAGGCACATGCTGTGCATTTAGATGGGCCACTTTGTTGGCCAAGAGCACAACTTCAATAATTATATTTCAAGGACTATTTGAATGACTGATAGTCCATCGAATCGCTGTAATTGGCAGTACTTGAAACTTCTTGAGAACGGTTCGACAGCTGTCTGTCAAGGCCGAGCTAACTTGAGCAGCCACAAATTAATTGAAATCCTCGAAATGCAACAACACATTCAACACTCAGTGGCAACTTCAAACGCTTCAAGGCATTAGCTAAATACAATTTTGAACTCTTAACAGCATTTGGGTTTTGTTTCCTGTAAGGCATGGCAACAAAGACTGATTGCAAAGTAAAAATACTAAACACGAGAACAATACAGTTATAAATTGCGGCCAAAGAAAGTTGTGGGGAAAGCTTAAAAGTGTTGCCCAAAACTAAATAGAAAATTAAATAGGGAAACTTGAAATTGAACGTAGACGAATGGCAAACAAGCTGAGATGCTTAGACTTTTGTATATTACAATCAGTTTCAGGGTAGGGCATCAAAAATAGAACTAGAACTGCCAATTGTTGTTCAGAGAAAGGCTAAAAAAAACAACAGAAAGAACCTCATATCAGCAACAAGACAAAGCAATTAGGTAAAGTACAACTAAAAGCAAACTGCTTGAAAGGTTTTTCTAAATGAAAAAATCCTAAAATCACACGCTGCCATTGAGAGCAACAACAAAACAAGAACAAGAACGAAAGGGTCTTCAGCTAAGCCCTGTTACATTTGCTTTAAGCTCCTTAAATTAATAATTCAGCAAAATATTTGTCTCTTGCTTTAATAATGTTGAATATTGCGCATACGCTGCGTGGGACCGAGTACCTGCTTGCTTATTCACGCTGATCTGATTTAGCTGTGTATGCCTTTGGCACATTTACTTCCGCTTATTATTTTTGATGATTTCCTAACGGTTTCTTCTAGCTACTTCCGGCCCTCGTACCGGTCCAGCGGTCAATGCTGACCTTAGTGGCCCCTCAGTGAATGCCACATTTACGGGCAGATTTTCTTTTGCCAGAGCTGTGTGAGTGAGTAAGAGAATTGCACACACGTGTGCGTTGCGAACTGTTAAACCAGATTAAATTCAGTCTTGAGCATTCAAAAAGGTATGCCCAACACGGACACGTGGCAGCTGTGACTTGATATGCCTGAAAGTGCTTAGTTTGGCTTGGCTTTGCGAGGCAAGCGAGCCCTACTTACCAAACAACTACAGACTGAGATGCCTCAAGGGTTTCAGTAGCTCTTTGTGAAAAACTTTATTTGTACCTAGCCCACTGCTCGTTAGACGCACTTCAAGCTTTGCCGTTTGCCCGGCTCGAATAGGCAAAATATTATAAAAATGTTGCTGTTTAAAGCATTGTTTTAAAAAAAAAAAAGACTATGGCTTAAATTTAAATGCATTTTAAATTGTTTATGTCCGGAATATGACTTTAAAGCTGGCTTGGCAGGAAGAGTTGGCAGCCAAATATTTGTTGAGGTGAGGTGTGCATGCAGCACACACAAAAACACACACACGTATGACAGCATTTTGTAATTAAGCATTCAGAGAATGTCGGCGAAAGCAACGTGAACAAACAGAAAAACAGGCGAAATGTGCCAACGCTTATGGCAGAGAGATCAAAAGTTCGGGCCACTCATAAACAAACAGGCAGATAAACAGAGCCACAGTTGGCGGCTATTCGGGCAGATGTTGAACCACAACACAAGGGACAAGCTGCACATTTCATTGCCAAAAAAAAGCACACACAAAGCCCACTTGACAGGACATGTGACACACACACACAGGCAGGCACAGAGAGAAAGAGCTACTGGCTTAGGTCAAGGTAATAACTGTCAACGAGCTGAAACGCCACTCGAGCTGTATTTGCTGCAAATAGATTGCATAATAAGTAGTCTGACAGGCGAGCCTTTGCTCCGATTACCCTAGCGTGCGATCTCGAATTTTTAGCCTGATTAAAATCGATGCTGCACAAAGCTTGTTTATACATTTTTAATATTAGTAAACTAACGTAAAGTGCTTAATTGTGTGTGATAAATGACAAGCTGCAGCAACAAGTGGCCAGCAACGCAGCGCAGCTCAAATGAGGTTCCATAAAACAATATTTGCTCCGCTCGCCCTTTTTTTTTTAATTTGCATTTGGCCGTTTATATCTTATCTGTGACGGCTTATTGTCTGGCTTATGGTTTATGAGCGCGTTTATTGTATGCATGTGCATGACCTTAGTTTTGGATTTCCTCTATGGCCAATTGGCAGTTGATTAACTGCTCGACCGCAGTCATAGTCCATAAACTATCAATAAATTCATAACAAGCAGCTGAGCGTCGCAATAGACACCTCTTTTCGCACCTTAATTAACTGAATAGCAACAACAAACAAACAAACAAACGCGCATTTATTAATTAATAATAACAGATAATTTATTAGATCAAATTCGTTAAGCTGCATAATAACTCAATTGAATTTCCTCTGGGACTTTCACACACGCAGGAAAAACAGCATAAAAACCTTGCAGATGGGCGCAACCAACTGCAAAATACTCGTTCGCAGTTCGAGTAGACAGACCATAGAATTTATGGATATAAATGTATATATATATATATATATATATCTTTAGAGTATATTATCAGAAAGCCACATGCCAGACTTAGTGATATATGAAAGGTGTGTTCAAAAAGTATGCGGGTTGTTTTATTTGATTTCAGCGGGTTACGTATACTAGATTTTTCTTATGCTGTTGCCCACATTCCTCCTGCCAACAAGTTCGTTCAGCTTGAATGCTCTGCTAATTTTTGATTGCTGTTTGGCTAGCATGAGTTTGGCCCTGCTAACACATACTTGGCCAGAAGCAACACCCTAATGACGCCGCAGACACCATATTGCCCAGAGTTGGCTTCAAGTGACTTTTACTTATGCCTGAAATTGAAGTGGGCACTGAAAGCATGAAGGTATGCTACGATTGAGTAGATCGTAGAAGAAGGTGAAGAAGATTACAAACAGATATTTCTTGAAGTGCTTTGAGGCTTATGTATATCAAGTAAGTAAGTCTATAGATGAGCAAATAGACGAGTCAATATCTAAAACTTCGAGTCTACAGTTGTAATTAACAGCTGTTAGTGCTATTCCAGAAAATATATATACTCATTTTCCCATTTCATGTTCAC